AGGCCATGGCAAACCTCCTCTGAACCAATCTTGCCAAGAAAACCCCATATAGGGTTGCCTTGGGGTTGCCATAAGTTGGAAGTGACTTGAAGCCCCACTCCCACAACAACAAACAGATATACTGTATAGATACAGATGGTATAGCTATAGCTATAGCTATAGATCTGTGTAGCTGGTGGTCCAATTGAGTCCAAGCATGAGACCCCCTTCCCTCCCCAGCCTCTCTCATTTATGAACTCATTCATTTAATTTCATTATTTAATCATGGGCCGGGCCCTGGCGCTTCCTTAAGAAAGGCCTGACCTATTTTTGGCTGGAGATAAACGATCATGTTAACAGATGTTAATCTTGTAATCTGTTTTCCTGTAAGCACTTCACCATCCTGAGCATTGGAGACCTTCATGACAACAACAACACACACACACACATATAATATATATATATATACACACACACACATATATATAAAGAGGAAAGATTAACATCATGGTTCAATACTTGATGGTGTGTGTATATGTGTGTGTATCCTTTTTTTAAAATGGTGGGTGGAGGAGATGGGAAGAGAAGATCCCCCCCCCAAATGCTTTCAAATATATTAAATCTCCCCTTCTCTGCATTGATGAATGCTGATTTGTTCTGCCTCAGTTCCCACAGGCTTTTTTCTTCTTTGCATTCCCAGTGCCACAGGTTACACCATTTTTACACACACACACACAAAAACCTACAGCCATGTAAAATAACAATAAGATAGTAAACGTGGAGAGAAAATGGGGGGTGTTTTCACATCTGGATTAAATAAAGAGCAAGATTTAATAGGTTTCCACACACAAAAAGTCGCCTAGAGATGAGAAGAAGGGTGTGTGTGTGTACGTGTGTTATCTTTCTACGTCTGGTATCCAAATAAAAATAAAAACTGTGTGTAAGGGTATGGAGAAGGTCTAGCCACAGAAGAGGCTTTGCTTCCAAAATCTAGGGCTGAATCCTCTGGTGCCACAACCAACTCTACTTCCCAGAATTCCATAGCATGAAGTCATGGCAGTTAAAGTGCGATTGACCTGGATTATGGGCCTTTACAGACTGCCAGAAATAGTGCAAATTGAGTCCACTTTAAGGGTTAGGGTTAGTGATAGGGAGTCATGGGAATTGTTGTTGTTTTTTTCCTGAGACATTGAGCCTTCTTTGTCAGAGAGCTCTGGTGCCACAATAAAATACAGTTCCCATGATTCCCTAACCCTAACCCTTAAAGTGGACTCAATTTGCACTATTTCTGGCAGTCTGCAAAGGCCCTATATGTCACTAGTGCGGATGCACCGTTGAGAGTTCTCAAAGCTCCCAACCCTCCCCCTTCAAGTCCCCTCTTTCCAAAGTTTCTTCAACTTGTCGAAACAGCTTCATTCAAAGGGAGGCTGCAACTCTGATGCAAATCCTGGGTGGAGATGGGAGGAGGAGGAGGAGGAGGAGGAGGAGGGCTCCCTGGGACAAAATGTCTGCATTGTTGTGTGTGTTTTATTCCTCACTAGGCAAGTCCTCCCTCCCTCCTTTTCTCCCCCCCCCCTCATTCTTTTTGTACACATTGCACCCCTACTAAATGGACTCTTTGCATAGTAGTCCTGGCCTTGCCAAAACTCCCTTTCCTCTTCTCCTGGGGAATGACTTTTTTCCCCTCCTCCAAAAAAAGAAATGAATTAAATTAACATTTACACAGCTCAAGTCTCTTAAGAGTGACTATGCCCTTTCCTCCCGCGGAGAGTCATATATATCACAAAAACACCAGACAATCATTTAAAAAAAATATAAAACTATCATTTAATAATAATAATAAAAAGGTGGGGAGCTCTCTGTCCGCCTCAAATCCTTAAGATCTGCGACATCGCCTGAATAATTCAACCCCAGGCAGCAAAAGTACAAGAACATCCCAAATCGACCCCCTCTCTTCCCTGTTTGGTGGATTTGGGGTATTCTTGCACTTCATAACGTCAAGGGCTTTAAATCCCCCTCCCTCCCTCCATCATCAACCCAAAGCATTTTAATTTCCCCCGACAAGCAAGTGGCTCTCTCCCTTCCCCAAACCCTCTTTCCTTCCCCCCAGTTTCTTAATAGGTCTTCCATTCAAGATCTCCCCCCCTCCTTCCCCCACAAACCTCCTTTGACCAAAAGATTCCCAGGCTCCACAAATCCACACAACAACACCCCCTTCTGCAAAACAACAACAACAACAACCCCAAAACATCAAAACGTAGAAAATGTAGAATCTATTAATGTAGATGAATGTAGAACCTATTACTGAATGTAGAATCTATTAATGTAGGAGCATCAAGACAGATGAATGTAGTAGGATCTCTTAATGTAGGAGATATTGATGCAAGGTCTCTTGAAGGAGGAGCACCCAGAGATATTGCTTTAGGGTCTATTAATGTAGGGGGATTAAGAGGTATTGATGTAGGGTCTACGAATGTAGGAGCACCTAGAGATATTGATGTAGAGGGTCTATGAATGTAGGAGCACCCAAATATATTGCTGTAGGGTCTATTAATGTAGGAGGATCAGGAGATATTGCTGTAGGCTCTATGAATGTAGGTGCACTCAGAGATATTGTTTTAGGGTCTATCAATGTAGGGGGGATCAAGAGATATTGAGGTAGGGTCTATTAATATAGGTCCACCCAGAGATATTGCTGTAGGGTCTATTAATGTAGGAGGATCAGGAGGTATTGCTGTAGGCTCTAGGAATGTAGGGAATCAAGAGATATTGCTGTAGGGTCTATTAATGTAGGAGGATCAGGAGATATTGCTGTAGGCTCTAGGAATGTAGGTGCCCTCAGAGATATTGTTTTAGGGTCTATTAAAGTAGGGGAATCAAGAGATATTGATGTAGGGTCTATTAATGTAGGACGATCAAGCTCTTGCCATCTCCTGAACTGAAATGGAGATGAATCTCTCTCTTTCTTTCTGTCCTTTATCTTGAAATAAAGGTCTGAGCTCTCTCTCCAAACTCCTTCCTCCAATTAGGGAGCTAGAGAGGAACTATTAATTGGAAGCGCCAAGTTGTTTCCCTTTCCTTTCCTTTCC